TTCTATTATATTTGAAAATGGAGTAGTCAATGCTTCTTGCTTTGATATTTTTCTTGTAGATTGCTTTGGTTATTAGGCATCTTTTTGTGGTTCCATACTGTTCTTCTAAAGCAATGTCTACTCCTCCTCCCAAAGTCTTAATAACCAACCGAAACATAATTCACCCAAAGTTCATTCTGGAGAACCAGTGAGTTTGTGGCATCCTTACAGACTGTAAGTGAGAGGTTACTTACATGGGTGTGGGCACTCCTTCCCCAACTAACTATACCTGAAAAACCTTACCCAGTAGTGATGTCAGGATTTCCATAGCCCCATCTAGTCTTTCCTGACTGATATGCTATATATACTCTAGACCCTCCCCCAAGCCACATGCAGAGTTGCCAGTGGGAGAAAGTAGTTGGAAATAGCTGGATACTCAAGAAAGTATCTCTTTGCTTTGCTAGGGTATAAACCACCAACAGCTCAGCTGAGATGAACTTTTGCAAGGGAATACAGCTGAATGCTCCAAGATAGCAGTTGCCTGGCACAGTCATTCACAACACATTCCAAAAGAACAAATAATAATAATTAAGCAGCAGCACCAGGTTTTAATAAGCCATTTACTACTATAGAAACTCCCTAAAATATATGAATTTACATCTGTTAAAAGTTTAAATGGAGTTACCTTATGTTCTAGTTAGGTTTCTATTGCTGTGATAAAAACCATGACCAAAGCAATTTGGGGAGGAAAACTGTTTATTTCACCTTACAGTTACAGAGGTATATCATGAAAGAAAATCAAGACAGGAATTAAATCAGAGACCATGAAGAAATGCTTGTTCATCTTGCTTTCTTATACCACCTGGGACCACCTCCCCAGGGCTGATACCACCCACAGTAAGCTGAACCTTCTTACATTAACTAAGAAAATTCTTCATAGACCTACCTACAGGCTAAACTGATAGAGGCATTTCTTTAATTGATGTTCCCTTTTCCAAGATAGCTCTAACTTATGTCAAGCTGTCAAAGAACCTCCCAGAAGACCCTATAACAGGAGAACAAATACTCCAACTAGATACCACATGCTAGCAAATGAAAACCCTAGGAATGAGTTACTATTTTTGAGGTTTTATCCAATGAAGTCCCATAGATCCCCCAAATATTAATGACTATTGTCATTGCTCTTGATTACCACCCAGAACTTGATGGTAGGGCTCTACTGCTAATGATACCATTTACATGGAAGCTCAATCACTACTGGCTAGCTTTCATAACACTGGAAGGTGCTATGTACACCACCTGAAGAGAAAAGTCATTATCAGTCTCACCTAACTATGAACCCTGAATGCTTCTATAATGACCTTCCTGAGAAGATATGTCCACTGGTACAATAGTGGCACAAGTGTTATGGGAGTAACTAACCATTTTCTGATTGTATTTAAGACCCACTCCATGAGATGGAACTCATACCTGGTACTGTTAAGGGGAACAAGAACTTGTGGCTAGTAGGTCATAGGCCCTAGAGAAGAACCTAATAATAGTAGTCTGCTAAGTGGACATAATATTACAATGACCCCTAATAACTTACTGCTATACCCATAAATCAGCGCATCTCTCATCTCTCATCAGAGAAGCTTCTTCTTGCAATAGATGGTGGTTAATACAGAGACCCACAGCTGGTCAACATGCAAAAACTAAGAGACTTTGGATATCTGAGCCCTGAATGTGACTTCTGTATCATGTCCCTCCCTCCAAGGCTTAAGGATCTTCGTAGAAGAAAGGGTAGAAAACTTGTAAGAGCCCCCAGGTAGTGGATGACTTCAAGGAAACAGTTTTCCAGATACAAAAGGACAGTTGTGCATATGAACTCACAGCAGTTATAACAGCATGACCAAAACCTATGCAAGCCCAAACATGAAAGGGGGAAGTAGCCATAAAGTCCCATGCCTATGTGAGAAACTATTGGCATTTGATGGCTGCTCAGAGAAGGTCAGTCAGATTTCTTGAATGGTGTGCTCGCTAGTAGGTCAACCATACTTCATAGCAGGCCTCACACTTCAGGCAACAAAAATTGGACTTGATGGTTTTTGGGGATTTTGTTTTCTTTTGTTTCCTTTCAAGACTCTGGTAGAGGAAGACAAGAGATTAGGTGGGTAGGAAGGTAGTAGGGGTGGATCTAGAACATTGGTTCTCAACCTGTCTTGACCTCTTTGGGGGTTGCATATCAGATATCACATATTTATATTACAGTAGCAAAATTACAGCTATGAGGTAGCAACAAAATAATTTTACCATTGGCCTCACCACAACATGAGGAACTGTATTAAAGGGTCACAGCATTAGGAAGGTTGAGAACCACTGGTCTAGGAGGAGCTGGACAAGGAGGTGAATATGATCAAAAATATTGTATGAGATTCTCAAAGAACTAATAAAAATAATACTGTCTTTTAAAAAAGAGGCAGAACCAAGCCAAGTATGGTGCTGTACCCATATAATTCTAGAACTTGGAAGACAGAAGCAAGAGAATTAAGAGTTTAAGGCAGCCTGAAGTATATAGCAAGACCACCCATCTCAAAACAGAGAGAGAATAAGAATGTTGCCCAAGATGGCATCTAACTTCAAACAACCCTCCTACCTCAGCTTTTCAAGTAGCTAGAACTATAGGCACATGTCACCAAAATCATATAAGGCTTGTTTTTTACTTCTATAAATCTCATTCATATTTCATTTTTGGGTTGCTTTGGGTTGTAGATTTGCTTAGATAATATGAATGTTTTAATAATATTAATTCTTCTAGACTACTCATACACAATATCCTTCTGTTTGTATGTCTCCAGTTTCTTTCATCAATATTTTATAGTTTTCATTGTAGAGATCTTTTACCTCATTGGTTAGAATTACTCCTAAACGTTTTGTGTAGCTCTTATAAATGGGATTTCTGATGAAGACAGTTCACTGCTTGTGTATAGAAATGCTTTTGTATGTTGATTTTTGTGTTTAATAACTTTACTTTTAATTCATGATCATAAATGGTGGAATCTTCAGGGTTACCTACTTTTAAAAATCATGTCATCTAGAAATAGTAACAATTTAATGTCTCCCTTTCTTGCCCTTGAATTCCTCCATACATATAGGGTTTCCTCTATACATGTTTTATGCCAAATAAACATGTTACTGATGGCTGAATTCCTTGACCTTACTGTCTGGCAGATTATTTTTATTTGGATTTTTATTAAGTACTTCAACAATATCAACATTTAAAATCCCATTCAGTTTGTGCCTCGATATTCTTCTTTCCTGAAAGGTTGTGGTGATGCAAGACTGAGCCCTGAAGAATCCAGGACTTCTCTCTCTGGCTACAAGAGTTAAGAGGACAAAAAGCATTGAGTCTTGTGCAGTGGAGGCAGGTCTTTTTATGAATTTAGGCTCTGCGTGCTGCAGGAAGTCCCAAGACAGCAGAAGTCAGCTGTTCAGCTTAGCACTCCATCTCCCTCCAAATTCCCTATCCCTCAGAGACTTGTGATTGCTGCCACTGTAGCTTCAGCAAGCACCCATGACTTCTGCTCTTGTTTGATGTGTTCACATGCTCTCTAGATCTGCCTTCCTTTCCCCTATCAGCAGCAGTGTCAATAAGGATCTACAAGATATTGAATAGTATATGCAGGGTAAGGAAACCTACCCTGAACCCCTGGGTTTAGATGTTTCCATCTTTAAAAAAAAAATAAGTTAATCACTTTTAATTGTCTAAGTCATTGCCTGCTCATGTACATATGTATGTGGAGGCTATGTGTAAATACCACATTTTCCAACTGTAAAATACACTGGAGAAGCAGCAAATGCACTAGGCTTAGCCACAGAAGATTTTAGACAGCTACATAGCAAAGCTGGTGCTCATAATTAGGGAAGGGATAGCCTGTGTCCTTTGCTACTTGGAAGCTACAACCATTGAAATGACAGCCAGATTGTGTAGATCTATGGACTCTAACTTTTTGAACCAGGAGTTAACTTCTTGACAGTTGTCATCATCTTTGGTGTTATTGTAAGATCAGGTATGACATGATGATAGAAAATCCCAAGTATTTTTGGACTAGAGAGATGGCTAAGAGCGCTGGCTTCTCTTCCAGAGGCCCTGAGTTTAATCCCCAGCAACCACATGGTGGCTCACAACCATCTGTAATGAAATCTGATGTTCTCTTCTGGCTTGCAGGCATACATGCAGGCAGAACACTGTATATATAAGAAACAAATGCATCTAAAAAAAAAGAAAGGAAATCTGAAGTAGGGCTGGGCATTGTGGTGCATGTCTTTAATCCCAGCACTTGGGAGGTAGAGGCAGGCAGATCTCTGAATTTAAGGACAGTCTACATGGTGAGTTCCAGGACATCCAGATGTACAAAGTAAGACCCTGTCTCAAGAAAAAAAGAAGCAGGAGTTAAGAGGAAAAAGAATCCCAAGTAGAAGCTATGAAGGGAGAAAAACAACGATTTTTCAATTTTTTTTTAACATTATAAGGAAAAACTTTTTAAAACTCCACAGACTCTTGAGTTTTTGACAGGGCCATCCTGCCACTTTTGCGGTTGACAAGAAAATGATAATGCTTTCTTTGGCTGCAAGAAGAGTCACAGCACCTCCTCTTGTGTAGAATGGCTCTCAACAGGACTGACTAGAACAGAAATTAATAGGCTTCCCATTGTTCTGTGCATTTTTACCAGGATATTTCATTAGTGTAAACAATGAGCCCTTTGTCATCTTGCTTCACCACTTGACCCTGGTGATTCTCCATCTGCTGGTGCCCTGAAGTACAGCGGTGGCAGGCGCCATGAAGTACAGAGGTGGCAGGCACGAGACAGGCACCAATTATTGGAAGCAGAAGCATTGCTGACCCAGGACGAGATTAACTGCTCCTTTGCAGTTTTTATGCTAGGGCATTAGCACTGTCTGGTTATCTTGCTTTGGTTGAGAAATTTAGGACAATAGCAGTGCTGATGGTAATGTTGGCAATTTTCCTGTTTGTTTTGCAGGTCACGGCCAGAGGCTTTGGGCCACTGCTACAGTTTGCCTACACTGCCAAGCTGTTACTCAGCAGAGAGAACATCCGAGAGGTCATCCGCTGTGCCGAGACAATCTGGAGGACTCCTGCTTCAGTTTCCTGCAGACACAGCTCCTGAACAGTGAGGATGGCCTATTTGTGTGCCGAAAGGACAGTGCGTGCCAGCGCCCCCAAGAGGACCATGGGAACTCTGCGGGAGAAGAGGAGGAAGAAGAGACAATGGACTCAGAGACAGCTAAGATGGCTTGCCCCACAGACCAGATCAGCTTTGAGGCCACTGCCATCCCAGTAGCAGAGAAAGAAGAAACCTTGCTGCCTGAGTCTGAGGTACCCACAGACACCAAGGAAAACTCGGAAAAGGATGCACTGACACAGTACCCTAGATACAAGAAGTACCAGCTTGCATGTACCAAGAATGTCTATAGTGCACCCTCACACAGTACCTCAGGGTTTGCAAGCACATTCAGTGAAGACAACCCCGGCAATAGCCTCAAACCAGGGCTCTCCGGGGGACAGATTAAAAGTGAGCCACCCACTGAAGAGACTGAGGAAGAGAGTGTGACACTCTGCCTGTCTGGAGATGAAACAGACATCAAAGACAGACCTGGGGATGTTGAGCTGGACCGGAAACAGCCCAGCCCTACCCCTGCCCCCAGTACCCCTACTGGAGCCACCTGCCTGGACACATCCAGGAGCGTGTCCTCACCTTCCTGTCTGCGGTCTCTGTTTGGTATAGCAAAAGGTGTGGAGTCGTCTGGCCTGCCTGGTACATCTCAACAGCACTTTGTCAGGAGTTCAGCATGCCCTTTTAACAAGGGGATCTCTCAGGGTGACCTTAAAACTGACTACACCCCTTTCACAGGGAATTATGGACAGCCCCCTGTGGGCCAGAAGGA